TGCTAAAACAGACTGGATACAAGATCATAAATAAAATCACAAAAAAATATTACACCAGACAAGGACATACAAAAAAAGTCTATCCTAGATCATGTAAGCACCAACTTAAAGGAAGAAAACTTTCATATGGTATATGTCAACTCATCTTTTTCTGATCATAGACAGCTTTACGTGGAAATCAAGAAAACAAAACCGCCCCCAAGAAAATATTATCAATACGAAGCAATAAATTATAAAGAACTTCATAAATCAATGGAGAAAGCAGGAATACAAGAATCCAACGATGACTTCACAAGACTGGAAAAACTAATAAAAAAATGTATGGAAGAAAGCAAAGTAATAAAGACAAAAATTATGAATGAACCACAAAAAGAATGGATAAACAAAAGTATCATAACAGAGATCAATGAAAGAAACTTGATGTGGACAGAACTACAGAACAACCCAGAAAGAGAAGACCTGAAAGAAAAGTTTATCACCAAAAGACATAAAATAATCAAGTTAATACGGGAAACAAAGAAGTCATATTATAAGAAGGAATTCGACAAATACAGTGGAAAACCCAAAAAGCTATGGAATTTACTCAATACCCTAACAAATAATAAATTTAAACAAAGATGCGCTCCTCCTAAACTTATTGTTAATTCAATAGAAATTACTGATCCTCATGAGATATGCAATATATTTAATAACTTTTTTCGCTACTATAGGGCCATATTTAGCTGACGAAATACCTATTCAGTTCCATGTAAATTATACTCACGCACTGCCAAAACCACTTTTACAAAATTTGCAAATGAATAATTTAGACCCATGCACTGAAGAAGAAATTCTTAATATTATTAACAAACTTGATTCAAACAGTAGTGTCGGTCTAGATGGTATTAGTACAAAGGTTATCAAGTGTGTGAAGGACTTAATAATAAGTTCATTAACGAAAAACTTTAACAAACTTTTACAAAACGGATCATTTCCAGACTCACTTAAAATAGCCAAAGTAACACCTATTTACAAATCGGGACCAAAAAACAGAACCGGGCAACTATCGACCAATTTCCGTACTGCCAGTATTATCAAAAATTCTCGAAAATGTCTTGCATACACGGCTACAAAACTACTTAGATTCTATAGATTTCTTTTTTGAAAGACAGTACGGATTTCGTTCTAAAAGTAATACACCCACAGCTACAATTGATCTGGTAACTAAAATCAAACAAAACATTGATAAAAAAAACATCGTACTAGGAGTATTCATCGATTTGAAAAAGGCATTTGACACCGTAAGTCATAAACTGCTCTTAAAAAAACTGGAAGTCATTGGTATTACTGGCACAGCCTTAAAAATGTTTGAGTCTTACCTCACGAATAGATCCCAGGTCGTTAAAATAGGCAATAGCACTCAAAGTCCCCCACAACCCATAACCTATGGAGTTCCACAAGGTTCAATATTGGGTCCTCTGCTCTTTTTAGTCTATATTAACAATATGCATGAGTTGGGCTTGAATGGCAATATCACACTTTACGCTGATGACACTTGCCTTTTCTACTTTGGCCCTTCAATTCATGATCTTGTCTCTCAAGCCCAGCAGGACCTTGACATTCTTCACGATTGGTTACAATACAATTTATTAACTATCAACATTTCCAAAACTAGCTACATAATATTTAAAGCAAAAAATAAACCTATACCTAATTTCACACCTCTTAAAATAAACAATACACCATTGCAAGAAGAAACTAATGAAAAATATCTTGGCCTTCATTTGGATACCTATTTAACATGGAAAGTTCACATTAAATATTTAATAACCAAATTAATGTCACTTCACGCCTTACTTCGGATTAATTTTCGATACATACCACAGAAACTACGTTTCACAATATATAATGCCCTCGTTAAACCACACCTGTTATATCTCATCGAGGTCTGGGGAAGCGCTGCCAGTACTAGATTAAACAAATTACAAATCCTACAAAATAAAATCATAAAAATGCTATTCAACTACAATTTCCGAACGTCAACTTCAAAAATTTTCCGAGAGACGAATCTGATGAATATCAAACAATTATACATTTACAGCACATGTATCTTTATTCGCAAATCCATGAACAAGAAGGTCCGCACGGATCTGCAATTCACCAAACGAAAAAAAGTTGGGCGCATCTGCACTCGACGCGCAAGCTTCATTGTTTTGCCTAAAACTCGAACAAAGTACGGCCAGACCACAATTACATGCGAAGGTTCGCGCCTTTTTAATAAGATACCCTCGGAAATAAAAAATGTAGACTCGTTCAATGTATTCAAAAAGCGACTAGCAAATCATATAATCACAAACATATCTATCTGAGTGCGTTGGACTGGTTTGTTCCTGGTTATTATTGTGGTGATAAGGTGATAGTGTATAGTAGAATTTAACTTTTCTTTTATTTGTATAGATTTTTCCCGTCAATAGCTGTTTTTGATGTTATTTATTTTTCAACAACATAGGTACGACAATGAATTTTGTTAGTTAGATTTACTTTTATTTATGTTCTCATGTAAGTGGCGTATAAAATGTCTTTATGAGAATAAATGTCTTTAAACATAAACATAAACATAAACATACTTAAAACGAATAACGTAATAACTATAGATAAAAAACGGACATGGATGATAACGAACGAGACTACGTTATTACTTGAAACGCTGCAGCACGGGTCTGGGCAAATAAAAGACCTAGGAAATAACTTAAATTTATCGAAAACAATAAAATAATAAAATAACTTAAATTTATCTAAAACAATATAACAATAAAAAATCTTAAACCTATGTAGAACAATAATTGTAGTTAATGCTAAAAATTATATAGTATATTTATATAAATATGAGAGGGTTTTTTTCCATTTACATCTCCTACTTTTTAAACAATAAAAATAGTAATCAAATACGATTATGTGAGAAAACTTTAGTTCAATAGTGTTAAAATAAATCCAATAAACATTAGCCAAATTACTTTTAAGGCGACACAGCAATGAACACATTAATGTACGCTTCCAATGTATTACGCTCCAAAAGTCTTTGTTATGTCTAGGTCGGTGCGAATCCGGTGACGAGATGTGTTCGAATTGCGGCGTGCAAAAATGCAGCCCTTACGCCTCCCTTCCTCCGGTGCCTTGTAGAATAATTGCTTATTAATAGGAGTGAGGCGATCATTTACATAAAACCGGTTCGTCTCAACACCTATGTTTAGTCCACCGGTATAGGCACCACGGCACCGCGTCGCACGCGCGCCGCACGCGCGCCGCATGTATCAGTTGATCTCGAATCGCTCGCCGAGTAAGTCGAACAACTAAAGAACGTGGTAGGCTTATTGACGCCGCTTTCGTCTTCGCGACGCATGGCTCCTACACGCCTCAAACTTACAACATCGCGCTCATCCAGCTCATCGCCGATCTTAGTGGCTAGCACTGTCACGACATGAAGGGAATTTTCGCCCTTGAGTTCCGCTACTCTAGATATTTCAATGTCATTAAGTAATAAATCTTGATCCCGCTCATTTAGGCGACACTTGAGTTCAGTTAATGCGTCTTCCAATTTGGAGCCTGTTGTCTGAGGTTGTGGATCCGTCGCGCGCTGTTCAAGATGTATAACCCTTTTTTCAATATCGCCGACTTTATTGTTTAGCTCATCTACATTAGAACTTATTTTTGATATAACTTCTCGTATATATGATAGTAATTAACTGCTCGCGTATTAATTTTATTTCACTTGCCAAGTTTATGTTATCATCACAGCTCCCTTTGTCGCTAGTGCCCGGTACTATTTCGCCGAGCTCAGTATGTGTGCCACCAGAGCTAAGCGAGCTAGGCGTAGCGCTCACACCTGCTTCACTTGGACTTTTTATAGTTCTGCCCGGAACCGAAGGCGTGGTGTGTTCGTCCAGCCCAGAAGGGGAGAGTGGAATACAAGGGACAGGAACAGATTAAATATCTTGTAGAGAGTCAAGAAAGTGCACGCGGGAAAGAGCCCAGAGCAAGTACCTCGTGCATCTCTCGAGATTCGGCCCGTATAACCGTGAGGTTGGTGGGGCCATGGGAGGTGGAGGGTGTTCCCATCTCCGGGTTGGGGGTCCCCAGTGTCAACTTTTTCCATTTGATCGCATCCAGCGCAGAGCTGTTCGATTCGTCGGCAGCCGATCTCTTTCCGATCGGATTGACTCAATGGCACTGCGAAGAGATGTTGCATCTCTTTGCGTATTTTATCGCATTCACCACGGGGAATGCTCTGAGAAATTGTTCGGACTAATTCCAGCCGCACAATTTCACTATCGCACATCGCGACAAAACTCGCGATACCATCCATACCATCTGGATGACTGGCGGTCCACTGTGCGATTAAATATTTCGGACCGATACGACTTAGGGATCTCCAAGAAAAGAGCCTTCTCCTTTTTAAAAGGCCGGAAACGCATTTTCATTCCAGGGGAATGTTGCAGTTGTTCATGGGCGGCGTTAATCATTTACCATCAAACGAGCCGCATGCTCGTTTGCCCCTCTCCTATAAAAAATATGGAAAATATTTTAGCTTGGTACCAGCTTGATGAGGTAACTTTACGAAGAGTCGTGATGTCTGCAGTGTCTGCGGTTAATGCAGGCACAGGTGCTAAAGTGGTGGCGGGGGCGGGGAAGATGAAATAACATTTTTTTAAATGAGTAAGGCTGACAAACGGGCATACAGTCTACTTGATGGTAAGTGGATGCTGTGGCTCATAGACATCCATATCTATACTCGATTAAGAATTAAAATTCAGATGCGTTGTCACCCCTGAGGACTAAGATGGAATTTTTCGTTTCCAGTAAAAAGGGACTGGTTCTTTATACTCACCATACGAAACACAGCACATTTTAAGGTGGTATTCTGTGAGAGCGTGTTTATATCTCGGTCTAGTGCACCCATTCGTGTTATAACCTTAATATAGCTTCAGTGTGTCTCTACTTTCTATTAAGAAAAGCAGTGATACCTGCGGCGGCGGCTGTGGTTGCTGTTGGTGCGGCTGCGGAGGTGGTGGCGGTGGCGGGTCGGTGGCGGGCAGCGGGGCGGCTGGCGGCGGGGCGTGCGGCGGGGCGGCGGGCGTGTTCGGCGCGGGGCAGCCCAGCTCGGGAGCCTCGTCGCTGCCGTCCGCGCACTGCGGCACTCCGTCGCACGCGTTGTACACCGCGATGCACTCGCCACCGCGCCGGCACTCAAACTGGTACCGGCTGCACCGTCCGGCTGTTGTCCAATAATAATAATAATAAATAAATTTTAATAAAATAATAATAAATTAGAATAACTTTTTCGAGTCTTTGCTGAACAAAATCTCGGATTGGGGGTGACTAAATCTAGTCCAGTTCAATCCCCAGAAGACACAAGTTTGCGTGTTTACCACTAAAAAGAACCTCTTTGTCGTATCTCCTTAGTTTCTCCCCTTTCTGCCTCGGCATCGTCATATCGAATAATGTGCAGTTTTATGGTCACTTGGAAGGGATGGCCAAATTAGCATCTAAAAACTTGGCGTGCTAGAGATATCATGTCGGCCCATCGCAATTTGAAACAAAACAAACAAATTGATTGATGACAAAGCGTAAGCTCGCTTTATATGGAACTACATCTCTGGGCCGGGGAACTCCAGTGCCAGCTCCTTCCTATTGACCGCATCCAGCCCAGAGTGGTTTGAATCGTAGACGACCGAGTTCTTTCCGACCGGCTTACTTCACTGTCGCTACGTAGGGATGTTGCATACCTTTGCATTTTCTATCGCATCTACCACGGGGAGTGCTCTGTGGTATATTTCGGATTAAATCCAGCTGCCAAGTTTCACGAACGCACGTAGCGCCAAATTTACGATACCACCTACACTATCTGGATGTTTGTTGGTCCACCACTGCGCGTTTTACTAGGAGTTTTCTTCCTTGTACAACATCTCTGTGGAATTACTTACCACCGGCGATTTTTCCGAAAGAGCTTACTTCTTTCTAAAAGGCCGGCAATGTACCTGTAATTCCCCTGCTGTTGCAGCTGTTCATGGGCGGCGGTAGTCACTTACTATCAGGTGGGCCGTGTGCTCGTTTCCCCCTCTTCTATATCAAAAAATGTTCGAATAAGCAAGAAGTGATAGAACAGGCACAGCGGATTATTTTTGGCCAACACTACCATTCCGTATGACGGGAACCTTGTAAAAGTCTAAATATCTGGACCTGGCTCACGAGGTGTCAAACCACCCCACATGTTGGTGGTGACCGACATGTGGGTTGGGGGTTTGCCGACCGAAATTATTCCAGTAGTCGTTTCTGCAAACGAACTAATCCCGGTCAGCCTCTTGGTTCATCTGAGGCGACTGGGTCTCCGTGACCGGCCGCTCCGGGCTCAAATGCAGAAGCTCCTTGATATCGCCCGCATCGTCCGCCGGTATTTTCCCTTTCCCCCCAACTCTCGGACGTGTGATCTCCACTGCTTAGGGCTTCCGTCTGCTTGGCTATTTTATTTATTTATTTTACTATTTATATATCTATATATTATATTTATGTAAATTTATGTATATTTATCACTTTCTTTTATAAATAATTATATCTTTAATTAGGACAGGAGTGAGTTAGTTAGTTAGCTGTTTCATTAAATTATATTAAGGAAGATGTTATCTGTTACGTTGAGCTGTTATTTTTATCAAAAAAAAAAAATGAGATTTTAGAAGATCTAAAAACAAATCATGTTCAATATAATTAAGAAACTGTTAATACCGCAATGAAAAATAACGTTTTTTAAAAAATAATTTTTATTGCTTCTAGCAAATGAAACACTTTAATTAACTATAAATGTAAGGACTTATAAACAATTCGGTATGGATGCTGAACCGAGACGCGTGTAGGTCTTCCAGTGAGATCCCAGTTAACACAACATACGACCATCGTAGAACACAGAGATTGCCAACTAAACGTATTAGTCACGGATAACTATAATCTATAACTAATTCAAGATAAGTTGACGTTTAATTTATAATAAATTGGGGGCGTGAACGCACTTGGAGGGGGTGGTTGTTGCTGCGGCTGTGGTGGTAGCGTCTGCTGCGGCAGCTGATGCGACAACTGTGGCAGCGGCGGCACTTGTGGCTGCTGTGGTAGTGGCTGTGGTGGCTGCCGCTGCTGTGGTGACTGCCGCTGCTGTGGCGGCTGTTGTGGGGCCGCAGGCGTCGCCACAGGCGCCGCAGTGCTCGTGCTCGTTGGGTTTCTGCAGAAAATGACTATGTTATTGATGTGAAAACTTCTTTAGGCGTGTTGTTTTTGAACAGTGAAGGAAAATAAACCGTCACACTCGACATCCAGCGCGCTGGGTTCGGTGACGCACGGAATCGATACTCGATTTGGCGCCAGTCGCATCTGATGTCGTGCTCATAAATATGTCATTGTTAGTGCAATGAATAGTACGGCCGCATGCCGAGAGCCGAATTTTCTGCATGTTTTCTGGCGAAAAGCCGGATATGAGGCAAAAGTATTCGGCCATAAAGGAGGAGCGTTGATTCAGAGCGCCTTTTCTCTGAAGCTGGGATTGTCTACAAGAAGAAAGGAAGTAATCTACTGCTTGAAAATGCTGAAAAATTAGGGTCTTTCTAAATATTTTATAATATTACACTTCTAAAATTTACTTACGATAACTCAAGAGCATTGACATTAATTTGTATAATACGGAAGTTAATTATGTACCTATGTCTACTTTAATGATTGCAAGCAAAATACATTATTTATTTGAAAATAAATATTTGGGTTACGCCCTTTGAGTATTTGGTAGGCACATGTTGTAGGTACCGACCTGTGTTCGGCCCTTTGAGTATTCAACCAACTGGAGACTGGAGAGGCCATGCGCGTTAAATTCCTAAACAATAATTCTTTCGCTGCGAGGTAGCAAGTTTCGATTTGACTTATTTGGCCTGTATTTTGTATAATATTTTAATAAATACTAGTTATCGATTATATTTAATTATATAATATTCAGTATCGTGTTAAAATTGAGCTGAATATATAAATCATTTAACAAAATCCACTACACATCTATATGTAATGATTATTATTCATCACAAACTGATTTAGTTATAGAAATATATTTTCCTTAATATACATAACTTGTGTAGTAAATTATATTTTATTAAAAATAGATTATTTTTTACTTTATGAACTATGATGGCCACACTCGGTATTGGACGATAATATTCAAAGTACGAGTTTTAATGATAAAATAACTTTAATATTATGTTAAAAATACTCACAGATGAAAAGTCACATTGTCCTTTTGTATACTTGACGTTTTTGATTGTTTTTTTTTTTCATGTAAATACACTGCAATTCGGCATTTTGTCGGAGCTCGATTTACTGGCACGATCACTTCGAAATGACGCACGACGCGGAGCAACTAGTTTTGTATAACGAGTATGAGTCGTACTCTCGTACCTTTTACAGAGAGGTATGCCTTGCGATGCCGCCTCCTTTGGTTTAATACTCAAAGCTTCGGCCGCCACCAAATAACAGAACTAATGTTCTATTGCCTTATTTAGGAACTTTAAATTAATCAGAAATTATTAAACGAATATGAACAGACCGGATTTAGTGGAACACAGAATATTAATTTGTTAAAATACATGTCAGATTACAACATAATTACGTAACAAAGGGTGGATAGGTGTTGGTATATATTGATAAAGCTACAATCAAACATTGAAATCGGATTAAATACAAGAAAAAAGACGGTGTTATTGTTTTTTTTAATTATCAGAATGTAAAACACACGGGTACTGCTAAACGATAACCTGTCTTATTGCAGGGAAGATCGCTTGCCGCTGTTCGCCATGTTGCTTAGCTTAAAAATAAATAAGATAACGTCACTTTCAGGACACACTATATCGGAATTGTATAATCTAAGACTGGTTTTCAATTCCGGACTTAAGTTCTGATATCTAATTCTGGAATTCCGAAATGAACAACTATTGTTAACGTTTTTTGGGTTACTAGCAAAATAATAAAGGCTTCAATTTTATAGAAGAAAATTCATTATATCAGTCTTTAATCAAATGATTATGTCTTGAGTTTATATAATTTAACATCGAAAATAAAAAAAATTAAAAAATGCCACACAGCATTTATAATTAGTCATTTTAAACCGAAAAATAAAAACGACAAGAGACAAGGATTAAAAGTTAAAAGTTAAAGTTACAATCTATATACGTCCCACTGCTGGGCACAGCCTCCCCTCATCTCTGAGAGGGTTTTAGGGCAAGGAAGAAGGAAGAGACAAGGATTAATTCAACATTTTTCTGCAGAATAACAACTTAAACACATAAAAGTTTTTATACATAAAATAAAATAATATAGTACTTACGTAAAATACCAAAGATAAAATAAATTTAAAAAACATAGACATAAAAAAATTACCAATCGGTAGAACTAAATTTAAACATAAAATATAAATCAAATACATATTACTAACTATAATTAATTAATTACTATATTATTAATATACATAATAATTAACTATAATTTCACGCATGAAAAGTCTGACATGCCTGAGATTCAAAAAAAATGTTCAAAGAAATATATCAAAATTATGTAAAATTAAAAAGATATCGGAGTATTCCGATAGAATATCGATTTTACTTCTTTTAAATCCGGAATTAAAATAAATTATTCCGAAATTTCAGAATTTGCAACTTCAACAAAATACATGCCCTAATAGTTAATAATGTCCTCCAGATCGTAATTCGGCCACGGCGGCGGTTCAACGGAGACTATAATCAAAGAGTATAGTAATATATACGGAAATATATAGTATGTACGGAGTATAGTAATATATATGACTATAATCATCTGCGCAGGACAGGATTATAGTGCATGAGTGTATGCGCAAGCACAGGTGCGCTCTCTATTCTTTTCGCTCTCATATTCCGATAGGGCCGGAGAGAGATTATGCGCAGATCCAATGACTTCACGTGCTTTTCGAGGCACTGGGATGAAACACCACCAACTTCCTGACTCCGGGCTGCTATGGAGTATTTCTTGTCAGAAAAATCACAGTAGTCACACGTTCTAGTCAATGCCCTAATCTCCTGGTACTTGCCTCAGGTTGGCAAGCTCCCGCTCGTGGTGGGCGAGGCGCTCTTGGTCCTGCAACTCGGCCAGGCGGCGGCTGAGAGCCAGCACACCGCTGCTAAAGTTGCCGTGCGCTGTGAATTTGCAGCGGAAGTCCTCTGGCGGCCCGCATGCGAACAGATAGCAGCTGCCTGGACTCTACACATAACAACATAATATGTTCTTCAGGATTTTTTTTACATAACAGTGAGTAAACGAGCACACGGCTCACCTGATGGTAAGTGACTACCGCCGCCCATGACAGCCGCAACATCAGAGACATCGCAGTTGCGAAATTTTTATTAAATAATGTAACCACAACCTAAAATTGTATTCGACAAAGCTTATTCTTTATAGAATAAGGACGACACACGAGGACGCAGCCCACTTGATGGCGAGTGGAAACCGTGGAACATAGAAATCTACATTTATTCTCGATTAAGAATCAAAATATAGATACGTTGTCACCCTGGAGGTCTAAGATGATATGCCTCGTTTTCAGTAAAAAGGGTCTGCTTGCTGCTGCGTTTGCACATCGAAACCGAATTCTTTTATTTTCATAGAAAGTTCTAAGAATTCTATAGTCTTTTTTTTTAAATAGGGTGACAAACGAGCACACTGTTTACCTGATCAAATAAATGATGAATCAAAATGTACTTAGATTCTTTGTCACCCTTGATAACTAAGATGGTATACCTTGTTTCCAGTAAAAAGGGTCTCCGGTTATTTAGACTCACTATCGAAATACAGCGTTATTCTGCTGTTTCTCCCTGGTATTTTGTCAGAGCGCGGGCCTGCCCCGGCCGAGCCATTCGTGCTGCAGCTGACGATGGCCGGCATACCTGCAGCCCGGCTCTGTCACGTACAGAAGCGTTGCATTTGATGCTGTCAGCGCGTAACATCTTAGATAACAGAAATATATTAAACAATCATGTTTTCATTTAAATTCATTCAGGTTTCATTATTTAAAAATGCTTCGTCTTTTACAAGCCGTTTAGTAAATAAATAAAATGCATCAAAACACCTTAGTTACAGGGCATCCTAAGCTGAAAGAATAGTTTGTTATATAAACTGTTTCTAACAAGCACCTCGTACGTAACACAACGGATCGTTACGGAGCACGAAACGGTCTTTGAATATCGGAACCGGAGTCACGTTGTTTGTTACGAGCTGCCATAGCCACGATGCCACCGATCTGTATCTATCTATAGATATCTATCTATCATCAACTCATCAACGGGATCATCATCTAGCATCAACGAGATGGTGTACCGCTTTAGATGAGATTGTTTGGGAATTTCCCAAAGCAGTCTCTTACGAAACCACAGGACAAATTATGGACTCTTTTAGGACACCATCACCACACGTAAGTTAGTACAATTAATTTTAAGCTAGTTGAAATAAAATCCTAGGTATATTGACGACCGCAATACAAATAACAAACGTAAGAAATTCTGCTGTATTCTAGCACCACACGTACGTCTAAAACGGAAAACAACATAACTACTTCAGTGCTTTGCATTATATGAAGTCAGTTTTATATATGATTTTTCCAATTCGTGGATTGTGACTGTCCGGGTTATGAGGGTAGTATAAACACGTAATAGATATATATTGACTTTTAAACTAAATTGTTACCAGATAACGTCACACAATAGATCGAACATGACCTAAATCGCAGTAGAATTCAGGGGCCTTCACTACGTTATCGCAGCATTTATCGAGCTATTGTGTCGGCTTGTCGACTGCTTAATGCAGCTGTGTTTCGCATGGTGATTGCAAAGAACCGGAGTCCGATTTTACTGGAAACGAGGCATTCCATTTTAGTCGTCGTGGGTGACAACGCGTATCCAGTTCAATTCTTAACTCAGGAATGTGTGCTCGTTTGTTACGCTTATTTTATAAAAAAATTAACTCATGTTTAGTATTGTGACACCCGAGTTCACCCTCTTAGGTGTTACCTCATAAAATGCCATCATAAAAGTCGGTAGGCACTGACCAATTTTCAGGTTTCTCATGAAGCGTTTCCAACGTACCGTACACAGACAGACCTGTTGAGGGTGACGATTGAGCACACACGTTTGTCACTCTGATTCTATAATTACATTAGACTACTTAACTACAAAAACCTAAACAACACGTACCGATACGAACCCGATTACTTTATTTTATCCCGATGATCCTGATTGGGATACTTGGATAAGGTTATTTATTAAATTAATGTATTATCATCGGTTCTTGATACGAGAGCAAATTTTCAAGTCAGACGTTGATGAAAATTACATAAAAACATTTTGTTACATGGATAGCTGTTACACGCGAAGCTTATAAATGCGTGAAATTACTACGTATTAGTCGAATGCAGTGGATAGAGACCTTCTCCTCAAAGACAAAGACGTCGCAGGCGTCTGTCTCGCAGCAGAGGCGCAGGCACTCAGCGCGCGAGCCCACGTCCAGCTCGGCCAGGTAGCGCGCGCCCATCTCGCGGGACTCCTCGGTGCGGATGATCTTGTCCCGCTGCACGTCGAAGCGAGCGGAACACGCGGCCGGGTCCAGCTCGCGCGCGCCCGCCGCCGCCAGCGCCAGCGCCAGCCAGCACGCCCACGCGTGCATCTATCTAATCACACGTCACCACGTCACGCTCTACACACTACACTATTGACTAGAAAGCAGTAGTTCGCGCGCGGCGTGACACTGGACTCGAATGGCTCGGAGTACAACGGTACCGCTCGATACCAGTGCGCTTGCGCCCTACCTCATACACGGTGATCAAAGGACGTGCCTCCGGTAGGCGGTGCGCCACACCGACTATGCTTTATCTATATAGCTTTTAAATATATTAAATCTTAGTACACAACTTGTAACAGAAACCCTATGGTTCCTGTTAAGTGCGTTGTCAGAAAACTCGATATTAAAAAACTACTTAATTCAAATTATTTTTTTTATTTGCAAGCTGTATGTGGTTTTATTACCTACCTCAAATGACAAGCGCATCGTAAATCGAGGTCTTTGACAATTATACTGTTCTTCCTCGGCCAATGCCACTGCATTAAGTTAATTATGATACCACATAAAATTTATAAATAAAATTAACCAAAATAATTTTTTTTATATTATTGAATTAAAGTTATTTCTATACATTTGAATGTATAGAAATAATTTTAATACTGATTCTGATACCGCACTTAACGGGAATCAAAGGGTTTTTGCCACATGCTGCATACCTATAATTATAGAATTCTTCTCTGTACGTGTATTTGTCACTGAGCTTCACCTGAATGCCCGGTACGAATTTGATATTTTTTTGTATGTGTTTGAACAGTTCCTCTGATTTACAAGGAGACCCGGCAGGTGGTGCTAATGTTGTTATCTAGAAATCACGTGCGCGAGACCGGGCGGAGCAGAACTCGTATATCATAAAGTTACATAACATGGACTCGGTAATTTGTAATTTTAGTAACACAAAACACGATGTAAAAAACTTTTTAGACATTTTTAGACATATTATAATAAATGGCTGTTTTAAACATATATTTTGAAATTGAATAAAGGGTAAAAAGATAACATAATATAACCTGATGATGCTGGAAAACCGGTGGTTCTTATAATAAGTATAATAATAATTCAAAATAAATGCTGTGAAACTAGTCCAAGTGTTTACCCAGATCACAAAAATGAAGCTCGAATGAAAAGTGACAAATAACGGCAAACATAAATTATGAACAAAGGGTATTATTTATCTGTGGAATCGATCTCCGCAGCTGCAGGTGAGACGAGTGGAGTCCGGGCCCCGGGCTCTCTGCGGCGGCGCGTCGCGTCGCAGCGGCGGAGAGCGGCGGAGAGCGGCAGTGAGGCCGCGTCGCCGGCCGCAAACCCACCCCGAGACCGCATCCCGCGACCGTATCTCTCGACCGTGTCTCGCACCCCGCTACCAGCCTCTCTAGGAGCCCGCAACGCTCCCATCAGTTTCCAAGAAGCCGTTTCTTCATGTCTCTATTTTTCAAGTTCAGGAATAACGTGAGTATTGTCACACACACACACACACACACACACACACACAGACATGTGCTGCCTCATCTGCACAGATTCGCTTACACCTCTCATACTGACACACCCCTATTATTATCACAGTTTTGTTTATGTGCCGTATCTGAGAATCACAAATCTATATGTAACGACCATACATACCAAAATTTGCCTTGGCTTCTTCAGAGATCATATGCGTTTATGATATCAGGATATTATTTTAATTTATGGATGATTATGACCCCCGGGAATAACGTGATCGCCACATTGCTATTTCTAATTTCTTTTGTGTTATCAATTATTATGTGACTTTAATGATTGTAAACTGTTCTTTTGTTTCATAAAATAATAAAATTGTTCTGCTGCATTTCTTACTAGTTCTTCCCAGGACAGAGATACTTCGCGAATACTTAGTGGTAAATTAATCATAAGAGTGACTTTCCATAAGTATTATTTTTAATCTATATTAATTTAAAAAAGTTTGTATTTCTATTTATAAAAAGATTATTTATGTTTTAAACTTATTTAGTTAATTCTGTATAATTCGTTATACTTATCATTTCTAAATGCACGTATTTTCTAGTTTTACAATTACAATTTGTTAAAGCTATGTTGGAAAACTGTCAAGCACAAGATATCAGAGACGTCCTCCAGCTATGGCTTCTGATTAGCCACTTAGTAAAGTAATGAAATGAATATCGCGTGTAATAAGATTGAGACGCTCCGCGCGCGTCCTGTCTTGTTGGATGTCATCCCGCGCCGTGCTGCCAGTTCCGTTTATCTACTCACATGCTGCCAAAGCAAAACCGTTTGCTCAGTTTGCCTTGCCGCTTGCATCTTGATTTCAATACGAATTATAATGCTACTTTGGTACAATTACTTATCGAAATAAATAAACTACATCAGAAATCCGATATGGACTTTTAAGGCCTTTACCGAGCGTCACTTTCCGGAAATCCTCCTCACCACCAACCACAGCACCACTACTAGTAGCTAAGACACATCATTTTATTAAGACGGGGATAGTGTGGGGACAGTGCCAAATGATGTCATTTTATTTTATTATGTAAGTATATCTTAGCTAAATTTTAGCTTAAATTTTAACATCTTTAATCCTAGGACGGAATTATCAAACAAGCTTATTAAAATTTAAACTACTAAATTAACGAGTTATTTTAACGATTAATTTTATACGTGGAAGAACCATGCTGTAGTTTATATTACGGTTCTAGATATACAATGGGCCCGCTCGACCGGGGTAGCACCATGCTCTCACAGAATACCAGCGTAAAATAGTAGCTTAATGCTGCTGTGTCTCGTGAAGAACCGGAGACCCTTTTTACTGGAAACGAGGCACTCCATCTTCAGTCAGGGGTGACAGCGGATTTGCATTTTGATTCTTAATTGAGAATAGATATAGATGTCTATGGGCCACAGCATTCACGTTCCATCAGGTGAACTGTGTGCTCGTTTGTCATTCTTACCTTATTTTAACTAGAGGCCTAACTTTAGATATGGAAGACATGGAACTGACCGCTCTAGTCCTTGGATCCTGAGAAAACCATCTGAGTAAAGCCCCCGACAAGTCACCATAATGTAAACCAGTAAAACTATTACACGCGCAACAGCGATGGAAAAATAGATATTAACTCCACTATCCGCTACTCCTCCTCGTTGCGACGGAATCTTGTGTAAGATTGCTTTATTGCTATTTATAAGACAAGAGAGCCAGTATTACGACGGGCTACTTTATTCTGTCCATCCAAAGAATGTTTGAAATAAATCGCTTTTACCGCAAAAACATTTTTCTTTCTTTCGTTCATGTATTGTTTTGGTGTACAATAAAGAGTTTTTATCTATCTATCTACAGGCTGGGCAACTGTTCCGTCCGAGGCCGCGCTCACGGAAAATGGCTGTTAATAGGTCTACTTCCACCTGAATGTTTGTAACTCTATTATTTATTTAATAAAACTAGAAAATAGTAAAAAAACGACTTGAAAAATTGGACTCTTAATGAAAAGTAAAGGCTGACCTCAAAAATCTAAATGGAATAAAATAATTTGCACACCCGAATAGCTTGTGAAGGCGGCGCTCACTGCTCAGAGTGACCATTAGAATTAAATCATCGACTTGAGCACCTGTTATGTGGAAACTACTTTTTTTAGCTCTTTAAGTACGGCTTTTACTTTTAACTTTTAGATAACTAGGTAACGTGGCGCAATGGACCATTATGAGTTTTGGCCTCCGATTTTAACTACTTACTAACAGTCCCTATAAATAGTTTTATATTTATTAACAGTTCAATTTTTGACGCTTTTGAGTGGTCTACGCTCGGGATACATAATATGTATACATAATATATATAATATTTGGAGTGCATCTCCAAAAACAACAACAACAAAGGCACGCAACGGATTAATATATCTATTTTAACAAACCATGTAACGATAACAATAAGAATATTGACAAAGATATGTAGAATATTTGATGATATGAATATTGTAAAAGAGTGTACGTGTGTAACGTGTATGTTGTTAATGTATGGGCTTACGAAATATTCGCAAGTTCAATTAGTACTGCCATTTACTCTGTGTGCTCGAGGTAACAACCAAAATGTTGTTTTTACAGTTACATTAAACATTTTATCTCCTATTTTTAAACATTAAGGATGTAATTTTTTCTATTGGGCCATCCCTGCAGATCGTAGAGAGAGCAGAGAGTGTTAAGATCAGTACACAGTTGACGAAGAGATTTCGTAACATACGTTTATTATTACTCGTACCTAACAATACCGCACGTGTAGTGGCGGTGCAAGAACATCTACCATGTTATATAGGTAAAAAAACCAGCAGCAATTTCTCAATATAAACTATAACATAAAAAATTGCCATTGTCAGCACTGCCCGCCTAGCGTGGCAGCTATGGCAAGTATCCGCCTCATGAGACAGTCTATGGAGAAGGCCTATAATCAGCATTTGATTGCAGCAAACTAATTGCGTTCTTTAAACAAAGGATAATTTATGATATAAGAACGTTTTATTCTTACCTCCATTTTAATCTTCGTCACTAGAGCATTTGTCATCGACATGCGAGGCTGCAGTGCCCTGCTGGGTGTCGGCCTTCTAAATGTTGTATTTCTCTGAGCCTTATGTTTTGCTGGAGAGTTTGCGATCCTTGTTTTTTAAGTGTTGCCTTTTGGATAGTTTTTACCGCAGGCCATGAGCAACTGCTATATCAGAGGAATTACAGTTGCTTTGTTGGCCTTTTAAAGAGAAGTGAGCTTGTTTCTTGAAGGTAAAAGGTTTTCTCAGTCTCATCGGTCCGGAAGAATCCTAGGAATTAATTTCTAGCCGCAGTTTCACGCCACGGACCTGGTTCAAGTTGTTCTGAAACATCTACAAGACTAGAAAAAGTTAGTTGAAGGATTATGTCAATGAAATAAGGAATTTTTGATTTTGAAATTGCTTCTAATAAGTTTTCTTATGGAACCAAATAAAACACCCAGTTTGTAACAAGACAAGCGCGACGCCTTGACGGCATCTTGATGGCTACATGAGTATCCAATTAAATAATTACGTCACTTTCTCGCTCTTTACGCAGTTTTATAGACGCTCACGTTCTTATTTCTTAACGGTATTTATTATTCAACAAGGAAGGAGCCAAGACAGGTTGAATGTGAGCAGGGAGTACATGAGGAAACACGTAGAGTGCCTTGTAGCAATATGGTCTTGTGACAGATTAAGGGCTTAAATACAAAATTCGCAAATTTCTTACAAAAACCAAAGTAATAGAGGAGCAAAGTGACAGCTGCAGGCAGCGGACACAGAGAACTATTAGTTTAATATATATTCGCCACACTCAACCGAGCAGTAGTGGAGAAGATATTCCCGAATTTCCCTTTGTCGTCTCACAAAGGGAAATTGAACCATGAGATGGGCAGCAGCATCTAAACGTGGCAAATACTGATAATATGGTAACGGATGTTCACAGAAACAAAAGATGTTTTAATGTAAAGTTGATTATACACTCTGTAAACACCCAGATTAAACACAAGCTAGAGATACCAGTTACTCGACTTCACACAGTCACAGAATAAATAATACTAACAGAGTTGGTAATTCATTCATGGGTTGGCCCCATGAACGAATTACTAACTATGTAATAACAAGCGGCAAATGTTATATGTATATTAACAAGAATTATTAATTATTATAATAAATTAATACATGGTTCACAAATGACAGTAACCCCTGGGAAATTTCAATAAGAATCGTTTATAATCTATATTGAATAAAAAATTATTTTATTTTCCCATCTCGTACGGAGGTCATTAAAGAAGGTCTGTGTCACAAAAATTTGGGGATCACGATTCAAGAAACCCTGTTCTTTGTTTCTGATTATCGTATAAATCCACTTTTATTTTCTCACGTGATAATACCTTTACTTCTGTGTCAAATCCATTATCAAAACATAAACTTAAAAACTTCTTTAGAGAATCAATTTGTGGGGCACATGGCTCTCAAGGTGCCATGTTCTATTCATTGATATTAGTTCTAGAGAGGCCGGCTTTTGATAACACTTATCAAGCTCAGTCAACAGCCAGGTATCGACTGGTGTGAAGGTCTGGTTATTCCCATTGCTCATTTTGCGAACCCAAACTTTAGCGATAAACTGAACAGTACGTTAATTTATTAGACACAGCGCAGTCTCGCCAAACACGGCATTGATTTTACACGCTCGTTTGCTCCACATCGAAACTCGATTTATTCGATGACTCAATGCCTGCGTAGGCTGTACAAATGTGACTGTAAAAACCTTTGAGTATACTCAAAGGTAAAAGCACTACAAAGTTATCATCACTTTCAATTTGGAATATGTAATTATATACATCAAAATTTTTTAGCATATATTCATCATTAATAAAATTAGGCGTTACTTAAAGGAATCCATTACAATATAGATATATTACTTACCTGGTTTGAAGAGCACCTTCCGCCCTCAATTAATTGCGTACACCCATCACTACTACTTCAAACACCACAAAAAAGGCACACCGCCGTCGATAATTTGAGACGTGTTTCGCCTCTACACGAGCATCCTCAGGTGTAGGCTGATTGCAGGGTCATTTGGCTAAAAAGCCAAGGCTTGAAACTGTATGTGTGAACCTAGTGATTAATTATATACTCTTTGATGTGTGATTTCATTAGCAGCTTTATCAAAATCTAACGTTTCATCTTTCTTGGATATTTTTTATCCATCGATGTTTAAAAATACAATACATGATCGTACGTCTTATCCGTATAACTTTGTTTCACTTGGGTTCACCGTCGCAGTGGCTCAGCGCTTAACTGCTACGAATCCGGCGTAGTACAAGTGTTCCATGGCTCACAAATAGTTGTTCAGGGTCTGGATGTTTGTACGTGTGCAATTTGAGTGTAAAACGTTTAAAAATAGAGATATAACAATACAGATGCACAAACAAGACAAAAGAGAATTGTAATAAAAATAGACGACAAATAGAAAAAAAGAAAGTTGCATTTATGTTCTATATTCTATATCTAACGGACTGATTGCATGTAACGTTTGGACTTAGATGATCTTATAGGCAGTAACTGTAATCCTTATTCATTCACAAGTGAGATACGAGGTAGAAAATCCTTAGTCATTAATAAGTGAGATACGAGCTAGTAAATCCTTGATTATTAATAAGTGAGATACGAGCTTGAAAACCCTTATTAATTAATAAGTGAGATACGAGCCAAAAATCCTTATTCATTAATAAGTGAGATACAAGCTAGGAAAATCACTTTGATAGACACGAGTAGCTACTTTTTATTCCGATAGCATTAGAGTGAAAAACGATCTAATTTTGTAAGTGTCAACCAGTTAATATTCCGAAGACATGTGAAATTCAGCAACAAGCGTTGGGGCAGCGCGGCGGACATCTTCTGAAATAAGATATTACAGATAAACATTTCAATTTAATATATTACTTACTAGGTGTGCCCGCAACTTCGTGCGCATGGAATTAGTACTTTTGCTATTATACATGATGATGATTTATTTGTAGTTATAAATGTCGCGAAGACCTAAAAATACATTAATCTGAATAAAATCATTCAGTTAATCAATCATTCAGACAAACTAAAGAACAAACAAATTAACAGACCCACAAACGAACTGAAAAACGAAATGGGCTAACTATACATTTGTGTTTCATAATGTAAATAAACAACAAAATGACCGCAATAACGTAATCTACAATTTGCTTTCCAATGTTTCTAGCCAACACTTGGTTCCCATACAACAGAAAAGAGATTACCCTAAATACGGAAGCTCCATCACTATTTGTGGGTACTGTGGTATGAAGTGTCTGTACTGCCATAAATATGAAACAAAAAATTGAAATGAAAACTACAATCCAATGCCCACCTAAAATTAAGTAACTAATAACAATATGAAAATCAATGAAATTACGTAAGTATTTTCTATATTCCTCCTGCATCGCCGTGTAAACGATACTGGTGCTCTCAATCCTCGATAACTCGGAAATTATGAAATTTTAATAAAGCCGACTTAATTCGAATAAGTATACAATTTATTTACAAAGATAGACTGCAGTGAGACATACTATATACACGACCTGGACGAAGTACTAAATTTATTTTATGACAAGATAAATGAAATTTTTAACAAATGTGTTCCTCCAAAGTATGTATAAAGGAAATAATAGATATTATCAGGTGTGGTACAATAGCTGAAATATTTAAGGATATAAAGCTGAAATATAAATTACATAAATACATAAATCTAATAAATCTTGCAATGATTATGAGGAGTTTTCACGATGTAGGACGAAAGTTAAAGCAGAGACCGCACGAGCACACGACCAGTACCGCGACCGCGTGCAGATACATTTGGCAAAGGATCCGCGAGCGTTTCGGGGGTA